CATTTCTCTGGTTGTATATGGAGTAGAGTCACACCATTTGTGCAGTCATACATGTACCTTGGGAAATGATGTCCATCTCATTCCACCATCTTTCCTAACCCCTTGTCTCCTCCCCCCTCCCCTTTGCCCCATCCACAGTTCCTGCACTCATCCCCTGCCCTTCCCCATTAAGGATTAGCATCCACTTATCCAAAAAAGCATTTGGCCCCTGGTTTTTGGGGATTGGTTTATTTTGCTTAGCATGATATTCTCCAACTTCATCCATTTACCTGCAAATGCCATAATTTTATTCTCTTTTAATGCTAAGCAATATTCCATTATGTATATGTACCACAGTTTCTTTATCCATTCATCTATTGAAGGGCATCTAGGTTGGTTCCACAGTTTAGCTATTGTGAATTGTGCTGCTATAAATATTGATGTCACTGTAGTATGCTGATTTTAAGTCCTTTGGGTACAAACCTAGGAGTGGGATAGCTCAGTAAAATGGTGGTTCCATTCCAAGTTTTCTAGGAATCTCCATACTACTTTCAGATTGGTTGCACCAATTTGCAGTCCCACCAGCAATGTGTGCCTTTCCTCCTATATCCTCACCAACATTTATTGTTGCTTGTATTCTTGATAACAACAGCATTATATTTAATTGGCAGATTTTAAAGCTTTAGAGTTACAGACTAAAAGCAATTTTAGAACAAATGAAGATTTGAGTAAATCTTAACTCTTGTAGGACTTACTCAGTAGAAAACAAATTCTTTCTCTGTTTTTTTCTTTTCTTTTCTTTTCTTTTTTTTGGTAATGGAGATTGAACCCAGGGGCCCTTACTAAGCCACATCCCCAGCCCTTTTAATATTTTATTTAAAGACAGGGTCTTGATGAGTTACTTAGGGCCTCACCGAGTTGCTGAGGCTGGCTTTGAACTTGCAGTCCTCCTGCCTCTTGAGCCACTGAGATTACAGGCGTGCATCACTGTGCCCAGCTTCCAAATTCTCTTGATAAGACAAACTGTTTTTTTTTTTTAAAAAAAACATTTTTTAGTTGTAGACAGGCACAATATCTTTATTTTATTTATTTATTTTTATATGGTGCTGAGGATTGAACCCAGGGCCTCACACATGCCAGGCAAGCGCTCTATCACTAAGCCACTACTACAGTCCCCCCATTTAGCATTTTTTAAGAACACAGTGAAGCACCTTGCTGATTACAGAACAATAAAACCTAGGCAGGAGCTGTGGTTGTGGCTCAGTTGTAGAGCGCTCACCTAGCACATGTGAGGTGCTGGGTTGGATCCTCAGCACCTCATAAAAATAAATAAATAAAGTTATTGTGTCCAACTACAACCAAAATAATAATAAAAAAAACCAGCCAGTTTGTGCAGAAAACATGAAACCATAAAGGAAAATTACTGGAGTTGTTTTATAAGCAACATTGAATAGATAAAGTAGATAGTAAAAGAGAGGCAGGCAGGCAGGGTATTGGGCCCCATAACAGCTTCTCTAAACGTGTAGGCTAATCCATGAAATTAACCTATAGAAACATTGCAAGCATTCCAGTTGACCCATTTGTCTCAGAGTAGTGTGAAAAGACAAGTGGGATGGACCAGAATGAAGGTTATAGACTCAAGGCCTAAAAGGGCACAACTAATTAAAGGGTCATAAGCTGAACCAATAGGCATGGCACCTTTCTAATACCTGATAAGTATAGCTGCTGACCAGTAGCCTTGGCATTTTTCTAATAACTCCTGGACTAGTAAACTTAAGTGGCAACCTGCTTTCTAGTCCCTTCTTGCCCAGCAAGAGCTCTGTTTGTTTTCTTCATACTTGAACAAATGCAACTCTTTCACTCTCACTCTCTGTTATCCCTGGGTTTCATTCTTCAAATTCTCAGGACAAGAACCTGGAAAGAAGTCACTAGTGGGTGGATAAGGTCTGCTGCAGCACTAAGTGGGCATTTGCCTGCTATGGAGATATACAACACAGGTCCCACTCGCTTCCAAAGAATCCAGTCCTGGTGACTGAGACCAGCTGCTAATGCTGGAGGGCATGCCCAGTTGTGAGGAGCTGCTGCTGCTGGGAGGGCTGTAACTTCACCAGCAACTACAGAAGCAGAGGTGGAGAACCCAGTTTCAATATCATATCCTGTATATCATGTATTTTTTTAACAAGGTAGTTGTGAAAATAATTTTAAAACAGACACAAGTTTTTTAACAAGTTTAGATTACTGAATGAAGGTGTAGACAGACTAATAGTTAATTTCTGAAAGTACTATTAGGAGTTATGAAATTAAAACAAAATCTCCCTAATTTTAGCTCATTATAAAATGATATTTCAGAAATCAGAAATAGAAACTGTACATAGCGTATTAGCATTTTAAATCATCTGTTATTTTCTTTGATTTGTCTCTGGTTTGGAGCAAGGAAAGTACAGACTCACTCATGAATTTTTAATTTTTTTCTGTATTGAGGATTAAACCGAGAGACACTTAACCACTAAGCTACATTTGCCATCCCTTTTAACTTTTTATTTTGATACAGGGTCTCACTTAGTTGCTTAGGGTCTTGTTAAGTTGCTGAGGCTGGCCTTGAATTTGAGATCCTCCTGCCTCAGACTCCCTAGTCACTGGGATTATAGGAGTGTACCACCATGTCTGGCAGGTCACTTGTGTATTTTTAAATCTATTGAACAATTAATATTTTAAACAAACCTTGAATATCATATATAGATATAAACATCATACACTAATTAAAAAAATGGAGGGCTGGGGTTGTGGCTCAGTGGTAGAGTACTTGCCTAGCATGTGTGAGGCACTGGGTTTAATTCTCAGCACCTCATATAAGTAAAATAAAGGTTCATCAACAACTAAAAATTTTTTAAATAAAAAAAGTAGATGGAATATTTTTCAGGTATGAAAAGCCTAAGAGTTTTCATCTCTGGATTGAGGTTTCCCTGTAAAAACAAAATAATTTGAAATGTCACATTTTAGAAAATTTAAATTTATTTATTTTTTGGTACTGGGGATGAGCCCAGTGTGCTTAACCACTGAGCCACATCTCATCCCTTTTATATTTATTTAGAGATAGGGTCTCCCTGAGTTGCATGGGGCCTTGCTAAGTTGCTGAGGTCAGCTTTGAATCCTTCTGCCTTAACCTCCCCAGCCACTGCGATTACAGGTGTGTGCTGCCACTCCCAGCTTAATTTATTCATTTTAATAGTTAGCTTTACTTACAGAAATCAAGCATAGTTAACGTTTAAATTATTCTTTGCCAAAAATATCCTCAAAGGTTGCTATATATAGAAAACAATGGACATTATATCTCAGTATCTAGAGACCAATATATTAATTGGTTAGCAGGCCAGAAAAATTAGTTACTAGATTTTAAAGACATTTTTATTATGAACAAATTTAAATAATTTATTATAGATTTAAAGTCATGTGAATCAAAAGGCACTTGGACTAATTTTTTTATAAGTCAATTTAGTACCATGTAAGCAGACTATATATAAGCATATAAACATAGGTGTATACAAGAAAAAATTAAAACCTAGAATTAACGTTTGCTAGTTTTATAAGCCAGACATTCCATGCTAGTTTTATAAGCCAGAAATTTGCATTTCCAAAGTTGAAACTAGGAAGATTAGCAAACTTGAACGGGGAATTTGTTTGCCAAAGATAGAAATATTTTAGAGAAAATTAAAAGCCCTAATCAGACAAAACAAAATATATATAATTTAGCCAGATGCAATGGTGCATGACTATAATTCCAGTGACAAGGCTGAGGCAGGAGGATCACAAGTTCAAGGCCAGTTTGGGCAACTTAGTGATATACTGTCTCAAAGTAAAAGACAAAGAGGGATGAACTGTGGATGTAGCTCAGTGGTAGAACACCCTGAGTTTAACCTCCAGTATTCCCCCTCCAAAATATATAGGCAAATAGGTTTTATATTCAAATCTATCTTTGAAGAAAAATGGAAGAAACTTCATTCCATCTCTAAAATCCCTGACAATTAGCAGAATTTTTAAAGGAGAGGAGGCAAGGGAATGAGTGACAAAAGGACTGGAATTATACATATATAGATGCAGGTAGGCCTGAATGGGTAATCTTCCCATCTTTGGGCTTGTCGGTTTGGGGGGTAGTGGTCACAGTCCCTCCAACCTCCCCTCTTAGCATGAGGAATGTGTTCCCAATTTGGGTGAGGAGTGGCATCCAAATTTTATCTATTGCAATAATTAGAGCTGAAGGTGTAGCTCAGTGGTATCGTGCGATGCATAGCATGCATGGGGCCTTGGACTTAATCCCCAGTATCAATAAATTTAAAAACTATTTTATAGTGAGTGGAAAAGGGGATGTTTTAATTCTGTTTGCATGCTTGATTTTTTGTTTCTGCCCTCAATTCATTTTGTTTACCATTGTGTCTCCTGTGCTACAGTGTCTATCCTAAGTGTGGCATTTAGAGAATAAATTTGTTGGGTGAGTAAATGAATGAATGCTCACAGGTAAACAATTCTAACAGAGAGGGGCTATAATGGAGTTTGAGCATAAGGGACTTTGTAGGACATGAGGGACATTACGATTAACTTTGAGCAGTTCATAGAACATTTCACTGAGTGAAGCTGTTTCCTTTCAGAATTTTCTCTTTTTTTAATATTTTAATTTTTTTAGTTTTAGGTGAACACAGTATCTTTATTTTTATTTTTATATGGTGCTGAGAATCGATTCTAGTGCCTCATGCATGCCAGGCGAGTGCGCTATCACTTGAGCCACATCCCCAGCCCCAGTTCCAGAACTTTCTAAGTGTATTCAAAGCCATCAGAGGGCTCTGCATCTGGGAACAAAATAAAATGATGCTAGATAGCCACCAGATGGCGATATTGCAGAGAGATTTGAGCAGCAGAGGAAATGGCCAGCCCTATTCCAGCTAAGAGCCCATATTTACTTCTAAATGAGTTTTTGTGTCCTGTCCACAAAAGTAAAAGCTGTGATTTCTTTTCTTTTGTTTTGCTAGTTTTGAAACACTTCAATTCCTGCCCAAGGCTGCTCTGGGAGACATCTGGTGTTCTAGTTGGTCAGTCATTACCAGCCAGAGAAGAGAAATGATGCCGAGTATTTTTCCAGTCCTTCAGATGCTGGAATTCTAATTCCTACTCCACTGATCTGCTCTCTCCCATGTAATGCCCTTATGTGGATGGATTTAAAGAGGTGAGGAGAGAAGCAAACTTGTAAACACACATGTGCGTGCGTGCGTGTGTGTGTGTGTGTGTGTGTGTGCGCGCACGTGTGTACTAATGATTGTACCCGGAGCGCTCTCTATCACTGAGTTACATTCCCCAACCCTTTTTATTATTTTATTTTGAGACAGGGTCTTGCTAAATTACTGAGGCTGGCCTTGAACTTGAAATCTTCCTGCCTCGGCCTCCTGAGTTGTTGGGGTTTCAGGTCTGTGCCACTGTACCCAGATAAAACTGTTATGTTTTGAGACATCAGGCACTATAGTCAGACATTTTATATAATTATTTAATTGCCATGAAACCCTGAGAGATTAATTTTATCTTTCATTTTATACCTCAGCCTGCTTCAGCAATTAATAACAGGTATTATCAGTCCTCTTTCAGTTATACCATCATCTGACAACACATATTATTTTCAGACAGCTCCCAGACAATCTCATCATATTATTTCATTTTGAAATACTTTTTTGCTGGGCACAGTGGCACACACCAGTAATCCCAGCAGCACAGCCTGAGGTAGGAGGGTCACAAGTTTGAAGCCAGCCTCAGTAACTTAGTGAGGTCCTAAGAAACTTGGTGAGACCCTGTCTCAAATAAAAAAAATAAAAAGGGCTAGAGATGTAGCTCAGTGATGAAGCATCTCTGGGTTCAATCCCCAGTACACAACAAACAAAAAACCTCCTAAAACTCAATAGCTCTAAAAGATAAACACTCTTTAACACAATGGCAATAACATTATAACACTAAAAAACCCTACAGTAATTCCTTAACATCCTCAAATATCTAGCCCTGTTAAATTTACCTGGTTTCTCATCTTTTAAAATTGCATGTATTTTATTCAAATCAGGATTCAGACAGGTTTATAAATTGCATTTATTTAATAGATGAGTTATGAGTCTTTTTATACAGAAGGAGACTGAAGATAAGAGAAGAGTATCTATTCAGAATTCAGATAAAATTCTCTTCTGAATTAAACCTAGTACTACATGTTGGGGGTCACAAAGATTAGGAAGATATAGTCCCTAAGGAACTCAGTTGTGTGCTCCTATTAATGTTCTGTGAGTATATTTATCACAGGACTTATCACTTACGATTAGTATGCGTTATATGTATCTATCATTCCAGGTGGTAAGTCCACTAAGAGGTAGGGATGATTTCATGTTCAACATTGCAGTTTTTATACTTAGCATAGATCTTGGCATATAACAGGGGATGGAGTAATTTCGTCTAACTGGGAATCAATAAAGAGTTTCCAGCCAGGCACAGTGGCACACACCTGTTATCTCAGTGGCTTGGGAGGCTGAGGAAGGAGGATCATGAGTTCAAAGCCAGCCTCAGCAATAGCGAGGTACTCAGCCACTCAGTGAGACTCTATCTCTAAGTAAAATATAAAATAGGGCTGAGGATGTGGCTCAGTGGTTCAGTGCCTCTAAGTTCAATCCCCGGTACTAAAAGAACAAACAAACAAACAAACAAAAAATAAAAACAAAAACAAAAAAACAATTTCTAGCAGGGCAGTGACAATGTAAGGTTTTCACTAGTGGTAGATAAAAGGTTGTCAGTTGATTTCAAAGCATAACGACTGGAGACAGACTATTGCAGAGTCCGGGCTAGAAAGGATGAGGGTGAGTATGGAGAGAAGATAGATTGGAGAGTTACTGAGTATGTAAATGGTCAGGATTGGGTAATTTCTTACATGCAGAGAATGAAGAGTTTCAGGCTTGGGTGATGGTGGTGTCATCAACAAATTCAGAATGAAGAGGAAAAGCAGGTTTAAGATGCGGAAGATAAGTTCAGTTTGGGACAGGCTGAGGTTAAGGTGACTGTTCAGGAAATGTCATCTATAGAGATGTTTGCAACCATCTGGGTGTGGTGGTGTACACCTGTAATTCTAGCGGTTTAGGAGGCTGAGGTAGGAGGATCCCAAGTTCAAAGCCAACCTCCGCAACTTAGTGAGTCCCTAAGCAACTCAGTGAGACCCTGTCTCAAAATAAAAATATAAAAAAAGGTTATTATTATTATTTTTTAATTTTTTTTGAGAGAGAGAGAGAGTGTGTGAATTTTAATATTTATTTTTTAGTTTTCCGCGGACACAACATCTTTGTTTATATGTGGTGCTGAGGATCGAACTCGGGCCGCACGCATGCCAGGCGAGCATACTACCGCTTGAGCCACATCCCCAGCCCCCAAAAAAGGTTATTTTAAACCAAAACTCATGAGAGAGGTCAGGAGTAAAGAACTAGGAGTCATGAGCATATAGATAGGGCTTAAAAATGGATGCCATCACTCAGGGACGGGACATGCAGCATAACAGGAAGTGGGTTTAGGATGGAACTCTGTGGAACCTTACAGGGAAATTGAAGAATGAAAGAAAAGGAATACCAAGGGGAATTGGAAGAAGACCAAGAAAGTATGGTTCCACGGCAGCCAAAGGAGTTCAGGAGGTGGGCAATGGGAGTAGTTAACATTTGAGAGGCAGTTAGGGAGGTGATGGCAGAGAATAGTTGAGTATGGCTGGGGTGTGGGGCATTGTAGAAGAGTGGTAGGAGGTTAGCCCAGAAAGGTCAGTTAAGCCTTTATCCAAAAGGGCCTTGGCCACCAGGTGAAGGGGTTAAGGCTTCCTTTTGCAGGTAAATGGGAGTCATTGAGGAGATTCAAGTAGGAGTGACCTCATTAGATCGAGGTATTTTAGAAAAGTCAGGTTGAGGCAGCATGTAGAAGAAGGCCTCATTAAGGCAAAGTAGGAATGGGTTGTGGAGGAAGGGAGAGTTTCCCAAAATCTTTAGTAGATAAAATTTGCAGCCTCCCCAACCCAAAAAAATAGCTAATGCTCACTGAGCCATGTTCTAGGTAGTATTCTAAGTACATACATCGATTATCTTGCTAAATCCTTACAACCAACCTGTGAGATAGATAAGTATCATTAACGTCATTTTATGCACAATGAAACAGGAACATAGAAATAAAGAAATTTGGTGAACAGAGATAGTAAGTGGCAGAGCATAAATTCAAACTCAAGTGGCTTGACTTTTTATTTTTTTGGTACTGGGGATTGAACTCAGGGGCACTCAATCACTGAGCCACATTTCCAGCCCTATTTTGTATTTTATTTAGAGGCAGGGTCTCACTGAATTGCTTAGCTCCTCACTTTTGCTGAGGCTGGCTTTGAACTTGCAATTCTCTTGCCTCAGCCTCTCAAGCCACTGGGATTACAGGCATGTGCTGCTGCACCCAGCTAAGTGGCTTGACTCTTAACCCATACTGTTTTTTTTAAACAATTTTTTTTTTAGTTATAGATGGACACAATATCTTTATTTATTTTATGTGGTGCTGAGGATCAAACCTAGGGCTTCCCACGTGCTAGGCAAGTGCTCTACCACTGAGCTACAACCCCAGCCCTTAACCCTCACTCTTAATGTCATTGGTCATTGTTGTGCCATGATTGGATGTGGGAAGCGTGGGGTTGTTAGTTCGGATTAGGTTGAGCTGTATGTTATCAGATAGCCAAAATAATGATGGGTTATGTATAATTGTAATTTACCAATAAAAATATGGAAATAAATATCTCAATGCAAGATAAAATAAAAGAAAGAGTATAGTATAATGCATTAAACAACAACAACAATAACAAAATAGCCACTGGCTAAACTGGATAGAAATTCATTTCTCTTTCAAAGGGTTTAATGTCCAAACTTCAGGGTATAAGATACAACTCCAATGAGCACATTCGTGTTCCAAGCAGCAAAATGCTATGTTGCAGGGGTAAGGAGAGAACAGATATTAGGTGAAAGCTAGCAGTCTTTGCTATAAGGGAGATTCCAGGATTCTGACATTTGCATAGAGGATTGCATGCAGGATGCTATGATCCCCAATTTAAGTGGAGAATACAGGAAACCTATTAGAACTTTATGTTTGTTTTCCTAGGGCCTTTGGCTTCACCTAGAAGCAAAAGCCTGTTTATTTGTATTATTTTGGTTTTTGGTGTACTGCCCTTTTCCTATCTAGCCATGCAGTTCTAGTGAGATCTTTCAATCAGTACTCTGTCTCTCTGGCAAACAGTTTGATTGATTGAGGTATGGCCATGTGATCCAGGCCAGGACAATCAGAATACTTTACTTTAATTACTTTTTTTTACTTAATTGAGGAAAAAATTGTGACATGACTGGAAAATGTGTGGCCAGAAACTGCTGATGGCCCTTTTTTTTAATTACTTTTTTTTTTAGTTGTCAATGGACCTTTATTTAATTAATTAATTTATATGTGGTGCTGAGCTCAGAACCCAGTGCCTCACACATGCGAGGTGGGTGCTCTACCACTGAGCTATAACACCAGCCCGCAGCTGATGGCCCTTTTATGGTCAGAGGGAGAAAACCTGTCTAAAAGAATGCCAAAGGCTGAATGTTTTTTCTTATAAGTGGATGCTGTTCCATAATGGGGGGGGAGGGAAGAATGGAGGACCTTTGGATTGGGAAGAGGGGAGTGAGGGGAGGGGAGGAGATACGAAGGTAGGAAAGATGGTGGAATGAGACAGACCTTATTACCCTATATACATGCACGGTTTCAAGATTCGTGTTCAAGTTCCTAGTCTTACTTGTCTTTGATGCCCATATGCCCCTATGATTATGTGAGGCTTCTAATAGATTCCCTCTTTTACCCAAGTTTAAGTAGCATTTCTGTTACTTGATATCATTGAAGTCTTGATAAAATCTGTTGTAAAAGGTAATTCTAAAATCAATGTAGATGTGTTTAGGATCCGTGTTTTGTACTGGGGGGGGGTGAGATTATAGTAAATAGTAACCAGGAGCAGGGAGATAGTTTATGAGACCGTTTCAGTAATCTACCTGAAGGTAATAACAATCTGAGCTAAGGCACATCAGGGGGCCAGGCTTGCCATGACCCGTTTCTTATAAGCCTTGAGCCAGCTGCCCATATCTATGGGCTGGTCATCTTTATATGGTTGCAGTGTAACTAGTCACTATTTATTATGGGCATTTTCCCTCAGTCCTTAGGCATAGTTATAATAGCTGCTTAAAAATTCTTGTTTGTTAATTCTGAAAATGTTGGTCATCTTGGGGTCACTTTTTATTGATTGCCTTTCTTCTTCAGTATGGGTAATATATTCCTGTTTCCTATATATCCATTCATTTGGACTTGTCTCCTGAACATTGTAGAGGATGCAAATCTGTATTTCATTTTTTCCCTATGAAAAGTATTGATTTTTGTTTTTGTTTTAGCAGACAGTTAATATAACTCAAACTCCATACTCAGTCTCTCTTATGGTAGGCACCAACTGAAATACCTATTCAGTTCTTTGAAACTTACATGGACTGTTTGAAGATGGCCCCACACACTTATAATTCAGAGGTTTGTCAGACTTTGAGGCATTTTATATGCATAATTTAGGGCTCTACCTATCAGGCTTGGTCCATTTTAGGATTTTACCCCCACTCTTTCCAGCTGCTGTGGAAACCCTGAGCTCTGTCCTCTGATTTTCAAGTTAGTAAGATTCAATTTCGGCCAGTCACCAGAGCACTGACTGGGGCCTACTCTGTGGCTAAAAG